TCCAGGACTGTCTTTCACGTTTTTGTATTCCCTGCAGTACAGAACACTTAATGCATGCTCAATACATACTGATCTTGATTGGTTAGTAGAGCTGGGTTTTTATTCTCAAGTATCTAAACACAGCCCAGCAGGCAAAGTTTCAAAGATGCACTAACTATGCAAACACTAGAATATTGATGGTTCCAATCATAACTGCTAGCACTTGTATTTATCTTTATGAAGAAAGAGAGCTCTGGTGGTGTAGTGCCTGAGGCATTTGACTACTAACCAGAAGGCTGATGGTTCAAATCCACCAGCCACTCCTCGGAAGGAAGGTGGGGCAATCTACTTCCGTAGTGATACCACTTCAGAAACCCACGGAGGGGTCACTATGAGTCGGATCCCACTCGACGGCAGTGAGTTTGGTTTTTTGGTGTTATGAAGAAAATTTTCACGATTATTTAACAACAGGATAGGAAGAGCTGTGCCAACTAGCAGAGCTCATATTATGATGGTCCCATTTTATGGTATCAGAAGGTTGAATCTGTTCAGAGATGTTGAATGAGTTGCCCACGTGTTTTCTACCATTCTGGAGATTAAATGTCCAAATCTTCTTGGCCAGGTTGATTCTGTCTGTGAACCTCTCTCCTAGGCTCTGGAGTTTCCTGGCCACCTTTGGTGTTCCTTTGCTTGTTGATGAGTTCTTGTATGGCATCTGTCACCCTGTGTGCATTTCTTTGTCTATTCTATGCTTTTTATAACTCAGATGTGATTTGGGTTAAGACCTACCTTACTCTGGTGTGGCCTAATTAGCATATCAAAAAGCCCCACTCCTTCCAAACAGGGTCATAAAACCAAAACCATGCTAACCAAAAACCAAATCCAGTGCCATTGAGTTGATTGCAACTCATCGTGACCCTATAGAACAGAGTAGAACCGCCCTCTAGGGTTTCCAAGGTTGTAAATCTTTACAGAAGCAGACTGCCACATCTTTCTCCCATGGAGCCTGGCAGGTTTGGACTGCAGACATTCTGGTCAGCAGCCAAGCGCATTAACCAGTGCACCACCAGTTCTCCTTGGGTCATACATGGATACCTGTGAATATGTCTGAGTCAGGATGAGTCTCTTTGAGTTCCACACATGGGAAGAATCTTTGTGTCCATGAAGTACACACAATGCATTTGGTTCTGTTCACAGGATAGTAATTCAGTGCCCATATTCTTTTGCACCAGGTTGTAAGCTCTTGTGTCTGTCTTTGTACTTTTGAAATGTTTCACCAGAGCTAGTCTTGTCTGTTGTCTTACAGATTGAAGCACTAGTGAAGGACATGCAGAACCCAGAGACGGGGATCCGTATGCAGAACCAGAGGGTCTTGGTCACCAGCATCCCTCATGCCATGACAGGTGATGTATCCTGCGACAGTCTCGGCCTGGAACAGATCATATGCAGCGATTGGCAAAGTATGGCCCACACGGTGCCTTCAGGAAGAGTTGCCACAGCTGCATCTTAAATGACAGGGGAGGGCAAAGGCACCGTGAGAAGTCTGCCCATCAGTCCTGTTCTTTGGAGTTTACAAACATAGTCTATGTTTGTAAATAAAGTTTTATTGACACATAACCCCACCATGTTGTCAATGGCTTATTTCATAATGGCAGAGCTGAGTAGTTGTGTCACAGACCAGAGATGTGATGCTCCATAAAGTTGAAAATATTCACTCTTTGGCCCTTTAGAAATAGGTTTACTGAGCCCTGAACTGAGGGAAGGGTCAGGGAGGAAGGAGAAAAGGACTCTCAGTAGGTCACTTCTTAAAGCCGTTCTACTCAGGAGGCTGTCATTAAAAAAGCTTTACTGTTGCTTTTTTTGTTTAGTTTGTTTTTAATGAAATCAGATAGCAAAAACAAAACAAAACCCCCCAAAAACCCCATTTGGAAATGGAAAAAAAAAAAACCCCAAAAAACAAAACCCAAACTAATCTTTGTCTCCTTCAACCTTTCCCTACCTTCTAATTCATATTTAAATCCTTCTTAACTACCCATTAAAGAGCACTGGTGGCATAGTGAATAAGGCATTTGACTGCTAACCAGAAGGTCAGTGGTTCAAACCCACCAACCGCTCTGCGGAAGGAAGATGGGGCAATCTACTTCCATAAAGATTTAATCCCTCGGAAACCCAGTGGGGGTCACTATGAGTCAGAATAGACTCAATGGCAGTGACTTTGGTTTTTGGTAACTACCCCCTGAGGCTGGCACTACTGCCTCCTTTCTGTGTGAGATAAAAGGCTGTAGATCATTGTTGGAGGCTATTGTCAGAAGGGACTGTATGTCACAGTGAAAATGTATTTGACCAACGTGTTATCTATGTTTTGTGATCGTGGATTTGTAGCAGATGTCTATTTTGGGCTGAGACATCTTGCCTACAGAGGCAGACAGCTTCTCGAAGCACAAGCCTAGAGCTTGCCCCTGAGCCATGCTGGTGAGCCCTCATTCTCTGCCCCACCATGACCTGACAATTAATTGTTCATTCAAGGCACCCTTGTCTCTGCCAGGGCACACTGGCCATTCTCCTTTTTGACTGTTTGGAAGAAGGGGTGTCCCCACCTGCAATATATCACTCTATGTTCCTTGAGTGCAAGTAACAGAAGACCAACTCTGGATAGTTGAGCAAGAAAAAGGATTGATTGGAATGTTACAGGGCAAGCCCAGCCACATAGAGAAAAGGATGATGCATCTGCCTTGGGAAAGGCTAGAAACCAGAGAGGCTCCCCAAAGAGCAGGCACTGGCAGACTTTTCAGGGTGCCTTTGCTCCCCCCTGTCAGTTAAGATGCAGCTGTGGTAAATCTTCCTGAAGACATCCCTGACCCCCACCTCCCTGGTTCTCCTTCATTCTGGCCTAAATTCTCCACTGGATGTGAGGGCCTCTCAAGGGGATACATCCACCTTCCTCACTGGGTAACCTGAGAGCTCAGCGCAGCCATGGTTCATGGTGGATGTTCAGTAAGTTTGTTGGATGTGTGAATCCATTTAGCACTGTGCAAAGAGCACTGGATGGTGACTCAGGCACTTGGGACTGGATCCTTGGGTGCCTTTCATAGCTCTGTAGCCCCCGTTACAGTGTTCTCATATGTAAAACAGGAATAGCAATCCCTGGCTGAGGAATTAGTGTGGATTTAAGTGAGGGAGTGTTGGGCACATGGACAGCACCGGGGGTGGGGGGTGTGCTCAGTGGGTGGTGGGGGCTAGCACTTTCCACTTAGCTGTTAACACACAGTCAAGGTAGGTGTGGCTATGGCTGTTCACTTTTTGAAGATGGGACAAATGAGAAGCAAAGAGGTTCAGCAACTTGCCCCAAGCCACTAGGCTAATATGTGCCTGAACCTGGATTGGAGCTGAGCAGTGTCACTCCAGACCGAGGCTGTGTTGGTTCAGTGGTAAAAGCCTTGCCTTTCGTGCAGGAGACCTGGGTTCAATTCACGGC